TTTTTAATGGAAAGGAATTCTCAACTTAGAAAAGACATGTGCTTGGGATATCCTGATGCTGCAATAGGTTGGAAGGAAGTTTCTGTACAAGCACAAGTTGTGTTTTGGATGGGGTGCCAATAATTGATTTAATAGCAGTGCATCTGACAGTTTTCCCTATTAAAAATTTGTTTTGACAGTTCTGCCAAAGTATGGGGGAAGACAAATATTATTTCTAAAAATGTGAACCTTAACTAGAGAATATTATGATTTGCATATTTAAGGACTATCATTTCAGCCATATTCACATGAGGTATTTTAGGGATACTAGTTTTTGTGTAAATACTGGTTCCTAAATGGGATAATTTTTGTGCCACTTATGGGAAAATCTCATCATTAAAGAATGATTGGATAGCACTGGTTTTTGTGAGGGTTGCATAATAAAAGTTTCTGGGCTTTTTTTTTTGAGGAGAAGGGGGTGGTGTGGTATTTGTTTCATATTTTAGAACTGGTAAGAGTTACAGGTTATCTTTATTTTCACTCTTATTAAAGTATATTGTTTAAGAGCAGTAGGGATCAGGCTTTCAAAATCGTTCCCTCCCTATACCTCAGCCGGTAAGTGTAAGATGAAAACTTGGCTGATAATTTTTATTGCTAGATATCAGTTGGCTTTTAGCGGGCTAAAATTGGTTTATTATAAAGAAAAATCTCATAATTTAAACTACGATTGTAAACAGCAGCTCTGATGGAACTCCTAATAAAATCTCTATTTTTCTTGGTTTGTCCTGGTTGTAGTCCTTGAGTTTCAAAGATTTCCTATGGACATTTTGTTGTTTAGTGTAGATGTTTTAACTGTGATGTTAGATAAATGCTGGCTGAAGGATTCATGTTATTTACAAGTTTTTATACATATGCAGAGCTTATCTTTTGTTATTATAGTGCTTAAGTTTGTAGAAAATATCTGGTTAGTGGTGTAGATTAGTTGGTTTTTCTGCGATTTCATTTAAAGTAATATTAAAAACTTCCTTCTACACCTTTACATTGGAAAAAGTAATTTAGGAGTATTAGAAAATGGGCTTGAATATGGAGTGTAACTATATTATTTCTACAGCCCTAGTTTCCCCTCAGGAAAGATCTGATACTGTCGAGGAGTCATATCATTTTAATTGGGCATGATGCAGCCATCTGAGAAGCTGCCTTTGCCACTGTGACTTATAGGAAGTCCTTTGGCTGAAACTTGTAAGGAAAGGTGTTGATATTTTTATTTTAACAAAGTCATTAGGCTGACATCTTTAGGATGGGAAATATAATTTAAAATAAAACTCCTGGTGGTTTTATAAAAAGCATTTTGCTTGATTAATTTTTCCTCCCTTTAATACTACCTACTATCAAAAGATTTTGTTGTTGAGTTCTGAGCTTCTGGTCTGCCCTGTCTAGCATTTCACTGGAAAGCAGGCTTAAAGAGACAGGAAGGCTGTGTAAGGAATGGCAGCTCAGAACTGGGGATGATTCCAGTTACGTGGGTCAGAACTTGGTCTTTTCCCTCCTACGTTGCAGAAAGCACACAGTTTGCCTTTGCGCACATTAGCGGTCTTGCCTCCCTGATTGTGCTAAGGTTATTGGCTGTTGGCTTTCCATCAAAAAATTCCTTTTGTGGCATTGTGTTGTGGTTTGCTAAGTAATGTGTGTGTGGCATTCCTGGTTCTGTTCAAGACTTAAAAATACTAATGCGTAAACTTCTAAAGGGAAGTTTTGTTTTTGTGATTTTGTTAGTATCATGTTGCATGTGATCAGATATCTCATTTTCGTATTTTTATCATTGTTGAATAGTAGAAAGAAAAAGTACTCCAACTGATAAGCAAATTAATGATGTTTGAACAATCTGGACTGTAACTTTGTATAAAATAACTTGTTGCTCTAAGAATTTAAGTTTTAAGTTTTATCTTATTCTTTTAGTGCAAACTATATCCTCTGATCAGTTTTCTTGTAATCCTGCTATTTGTAAAAAGTTAAACATGGGAATAAAAGTCATTAGCATCTTTATCTATGATTCCAAGAAAACAGTGATTATTATTTTTTTAATGGAAAGGAATTCTCAACTTAGAAAAGACATGTGCTTGGGATATCCTGATGCTGCAATAGGTTGGAAGGAAGTTTCTGTACAAGCACAAGTTGTGTTTTGGATGGGGTGCCAATAATTGATTTAATAGCAGTGCATCTGACAGTTCTTGTCTATATGGCACCATTAGGTGAACTGGAACAAGATCCCTCCTGAACCGACACAGCCCCTGGATGTAGAGCCTGAGGCAGAACCCATGCCAGTGTGCTTGGCAGCAGGAGCATGGGCTGGCTAGGAACCCCCACCTGGCCTTTTGTCCTGTGCAGAAGCTGCCCTACTGTTTGTGGCGGTCCTGGCCATGAAGTTGAATAATCCCTAGTGTTTAGTCTCAGACCATTTCTTGCATTGCCAGATTGAAGCAGGACTTTGAGATGTATGTGTTCAGACACAAATGGGAACAAATTGAAGCTTACGAATCCATCTCCAGTGCCCCACTGAACACTGTGACAAGGGAGCAGCATGCACAGATGATTAACACTTCACCCTGAGGGGCACAGTCTTGTGGGGGACACAAACCTGTACATAATTGCTCTACTCCAGTGTGAGAAATGCCATATTGGCAGCATTATAAAGCCCTGTGCTATATGGAGATTAGGCAGCGAGGCACTTATTTCTGCCCAAGGAGTTGGAAACCTAGAGAGGAGTTGACATAGGAAGAGGGTTTTTTAGGATAAAGGGGAGTTTTGATAAATTGTTGTGGGTGGGAGAAAGATCATTTCAAGTTGAGAAAATAACTTGAAAGAAGCATTGAAAAAATTGAAGACCTTTATCACAGTGGTATCAGATCATTTTAGTGATAATATAAAAGCGTGTTCAGTTCTTTAAATCGGTTTCTAGTAATTAGCACATATTGAGTTTACTATAAATTGGTACATGTAATGTTGGTACACTTTTGCTTTTGTTTTGTTAGATTTATTCAATTATTATTTGATGTGGAAGGTTTGTTGCTGCTTTTTATTAAAGTGAGAGATCCTAACTATTTTAATTTTATTTTAGATTATAGCATTTGATGAGCTGAAGACTGATTACAAGAATCCTATAGACCAGTGTAATACCCTGAATCCTGTAAGTTATAATATCGGATTTTTTTTAGATTTTTAAACCATTTCTGCCTTTAACTTGATATATTTTGAAAATGGCCAATATTCTCAGCAGCATGATTTATTTGTACTTTTTGAAGTAGGCAGAATTAAAAAAAATAGATTCTTTTTCCTGTCCTGCTTGACTATTCTGACATTAATCTGCTGGTGATCTTGTCAGCTGTCATACTAACATTCTTTCAATCTGCTTTTTACATTGTCCTGCCAAAGACAGTTGAAAAGGTCAAAAAGATTAAAAGAGTCAAAATTGCATTAAAGGTGTGTACTGCTTTTAGTTTAATGTTTTAATGCTACATTCATTTCTTGGGGAGGGTTAGGGCATTTGTATTTGTAAAATGTTCTGTTCAGTGTATTCATTCATATGCCTGTTGAGGTTTATGATTTTGTGAAATTTCATATTTTATGCAAATGTTTGCTTGCTGGCTCATTCAAGTAGGGAAAGCTGTTAAATGCGTATGCATTTTTTAAAAATGTTATAGCCATAGGCACTTCTATATTAAATTATATGGTGCAGTGTTTGATTGTTGGTTAACATAAAATGACCTTAATGATGAGATTTATTTTCCTGTTGTGACTTACTGTGAGGTAGTCAGCAAATGCAGTCTTTAGTACTCTATCTAGTTTATTTTTTGTTATGTCTATTCTGGAATTCATTCTTTCAGCTGATGTTTATTTAGAGCCTTTTAGATTGATAGCTTTGTTTTTTCTTAGGCTCTGGAATCCTGTCCTAATGCTGACCTCTGGACTTATGCTGCCAGAATTTTGTAGATAACAATTTGTATACATATATCTACATAGTTATTTCTAATATATATCCATTCTAAATTTCTAAAACAGACCTGTCTTACATTAAGTTCTAAGTTCTGATGGATTTAATTATAATGTGGCTGCATTGTACTTAGGGGATTATATATACTGGGGGTGCCAAACAAAAAAATGTATATAAGTGGACACGTTGGTCAACGTTGCTGAAGCAGTAGTTCGCTATAATCAGAAGGGTCTGGACGCTGATGGTAACCACTTTGAGCACCTCTTGTAATTGCAGAAGTCAAATGTGACTTGCATTCATCTTTGTTATCGGTATATATTATTTCAATTTTAATACAGTTCTTTCCTTTCTTAAAATGTGTATATATTTTTTTGGCACCCTCTGTATTTGTGACTTCATTTCAGAAGATTCTCCTTTAGGTTGTAGGTTTGATTTTACCTAATTGGTCAGAAATTGAAAGATTTGTAAGAAAGCAGTGTGTATATCTTCAAGAAATAGAGTACAATAATTCATCTTTAAAAATAATGAAGACTAGAACTTGGGTAGACTTTAGTTGTGTAAAACCATAATGCACTAGCATGCTAGAGGGATTTTACTTGGAAAAACATCTATAAAGTTAGTTTGCTGCTTTATCATTGTTTCTTAGATAAGTATGAATGATGGAATAGATTTCTAGTGTTTGTTAAAGAATTGTCACAGTTAGACTTGATATAGGTATGAGGTGTGATCAACAAATATGATGAATGTTTAAATTAAAAAAAAATTATTACAGTAAAAGACACATTGCCATTAATACCCCTCAAAATACTCCCCCTTGCTTCGAACACACTTATCCCATCGTTCTTGCCACTTTCTGAAGCAGTTCTGGAAGTCCTCTTTTCTGAGTATCTTTAGTTGCACTGTCGTGGCTGCCTTGATGTCCTGGTTCATTTTGGCTTTGGTGAAGAGCCAGAAGTTGCATGGTGCCAGATCTGGTGAAAAAGTGGATGAGGACACACCCTAATGTTTTTATTTGACAGAAATTGCCATACCAGAAGCGATGTGTGACATGGAGCCTTTCCATTGTGATCACAAAATACATTGCTGCTGCTGAGTGCCATCCAACGGAAAGGCAGGGATTTTCAATACGGGAAGCGGCACGTCAAACCTTAGTAACAGTGTGTGACAAGTTTCAACTTATTCAGTGCAGTCAATTGGGTGTGAGCTACGGTTGAGAGAAGGTGTGTTTTAAAGTGTGCCATAAATCATCCTCCATCATGACCACACTCCATGTCACACGTCGCTTCTGGTATACGGCAATTTCTGTCCAATAAAAACATTACAATGTGTCCTCATCCACCTTATTCGCTGGATCTGGCACTGTGCAACTTCTGGCTCTTCCCCAAGGTCAAAACGATTCAGGACATCAAGGCAGCCACAATAGCGCAACTAAAGACACTCATGAAAGAGCACTTCCAGAACTACTTCAGAAAGTGGAAAGAACAATGAAATAAGTGTGTTCAAAGTGAGAGGGAGCATTTCAAGGGAGATAATGGCAATGTGTCTTTTACTGTAATCATTTATTTAAGCATTCACTGTATTGATCACACCTTGTACATTTAAAAGTATTAACTTACTAGATCTTCCTATGCTCTTAGGAAACAAAATGAGGTGAACCTGCCTTCTCACTGGAAAGTAATAATGTTCATTGGAAAACGTCTTAACCTACTTTTGAAACTAATTGTACCAAGAAGTTTAGAAATTGAAATTTCTCCTTTTGGCATCTGTTTTAATAATAAATAATTGGCTTTTCATCACTACCAAAAATCCAAATGATGATGAGGATAATAATAGCTGAAATCAGATGAGGGCTTTCTTGGGTCCTAGGCTTGGTGCAAAGCATCTTTATCTGTTTTTTTTCCATTCCATTCTCATAACAACCCTGAGGTAATTATATTGTTATTTTCATGAAAAGGAGAGTACTCTGAGGCTTAGCAATATTAAAGCACTTAACCCAACGTCACAACTAAAGTAGAGCCAGAATTTGAACCCAGATAGCCTGATCTTTAAGCTCAAGCTCTTGTATTTTCCTAACTTACTATAAATTTAAGAGGGACTAATTTCATTTTAACATAATGTGGGATTCCTGCCT